GTATTTGAGTAACAAAATACATTTTTGTACACTTTCGAGTATGCTCTACAACATGGCATAAACAACTATTTCAAAGCTTTAAAAAAATACTTAATGTCTGAAGTGTCGCGTTACGTGGACAAGCCGTTCTATCTATACTATTTCTATTTTCATTGTAGTTTTATCCGACCGATACCGATAAGTGATACTAACACCTGATTCTGATAGTCAAATCATTCATGTGAGATGGCAGTGTGTGTTAGATCATACTTCGGTAACTCAGTGGCTAGAGCTTCTGGCCTGTTATCGAGTCCTGGGTTCGACTCCCGGTTGAGGCATACATTTCCTTTTCACGTGTCTGTCTATCAAATTATGTCCTCCTTCTAAACGTGTTAAAAAATTCATTTTCGAGTTTCATCAAGTTCAGTTTCAACATTCTTCTGCAGAGTAAGATTTTTGCTAACTTTGCACAACTTTGTGTTGCGATGTTGTTCTTTTCAACAATGTGATTGCTTTTCTCATGTGTTTTGTTCATTTCACTTGCTCGAGAGTTCTACAGTTTCATAAAACCTAATAACTCATTCTCTAATCTTCTCGTCTTCTAATTAACACGAGTGAGAAATTAAATGAAAAACTTCTTGGTACGTCTTTTTTCTTTCATGATTATTTTGGTCACTTACCTTTTGTTGTTGCTAGCTTTTTTCTTCTTATTAATCTAACGAAGTTTGGTACCAAAAGTCTTAATGCTTTCTGTAAGCCAACAATTATTGCCAATAATGTTGTTATTGTATAAAGTATATTAAATGAACGAATATATGAATATTGACATTGCATTGGTCGACATTGCTGATAATAATTTTCATATGATATTGTTATTAACCATTGTTCAAGCATTAGTTGGTTTAACATTTGTTGTACAGTTGTTTGTGGTTTATATTGGCTTGGTAACGTTGAATTTAACGGTGTTAAATTGTAATTTGTTGATGAATAGTAGAATTGTATTTGTTTTAAACATTGTTGAGAATACAAACATTCTAATGTTGATTGTAATAACGAATCCGTCAAGTAACAACCTAAATAAAACCCCGGTACTTGAAATTCAATAGTAAAATTACTATTATATATTGCTGATAATTCGAAACATTTTGTTGGATTATCACATGTGCAATTTCCTTGATTATACTGTGATGGTTGAGTTGTTAGATGATAATAAAAAAAGTCAAGAAATGAAACTAATCTGAATTGATAATTAGTCAATGTATTGGATAATAAACCATTAGCATGTGTTGCTGATTGAATAAAGTTAAATGTAAATAAAAAGTCGTTAATAATTGATGATTGAAACTGTTGAATTGATAACTGATTTTGTTGTAGAAATAGCTCTTTTGATATTAATGTGAATGTAATATAAGTTCTTGATTGAAGTGTTAATAATGCATCATCAATTGTTTGTTGACTTAATCGACATAATTGTGATAAAAATTGAAATGAATAAGCGGACGTACGACGAAAATCACGATAATATAATTTATCTTAAGAGAAAATAATATTTATTAAAAGATCATTGGTCTAAATGTTATACTTTCTCTATCTATGTAGCTTAAATCAGTAAAAACAAGATTGAAGGCTATTTGTGTCTAAACAAGGCTTTTCGTGGCTACAAGAAAAACAAAAACTGAATCTCTTTATTTCCGAGAAAAACATTACAAAAACCAGCTGAAGGTTAAGATATCCCAGAAGAAAATGGTGGAGAAAAAGTATACTATTTCCAATAGCAGTTTTTATAGAATGTGCGAACTTTCCGACAGCAGGTTTTCCTAACTTGATACTGATGTCAACATAATTAAACAGGCAGAAACACTCGTTCCCAGTATTTCGGTTGATGTTGTCACGTAACAACCCCCATCAGAACAGTGCAAACCAGCTCACCTTGCTTGCTTGTTAGCGTAGTTATCTTGATCAGTGTTTCTAATAATCTTTGCATCGATTTCGGTCCATCGATTTTTTAGTTTTAACTTTAATGCAGTTCTATAGAGACAACGATTTTCCACATTTTCCTGTTGACCTGCCCTTCTGAAGCCTTAGAGAACTTTTTCAAATTAATTTTTCTAAAATGAGGCATAAAGATGCTAGTGCCTACTAAAGCCGATTCTCCTCAAAATTTAGAACTGAGTTAGGGTAGCGTTTGATAAAGAAAAATGAAAAACTGAACATAATAGTGTATGACACATAGTTAGGTTATAAAGTATAAAAGAGAAACAGTTCATTTTCAAGCATTTCCAATTCCAAGATAATCGATGAATGATTTCCTTAGCCACTTTTCTTCTATAAATAGAAGAGCATGCACTTGTCTTCGACGATTCAAGTGCATACTATTCGTTAGAGGAAAACAGTTTTTTCCGAAATGTGATCGGGTGCAAATATGCCCAAAAGCAGTTTTGGTCGCTTCCTGTGGATTTTTGCTGGATTTGCAAGGCCGTGACTTGTAATAAACTGATTTCAATACCTGAAAAAGCTTACAATCAGGAGTAGTGTGAATGCATGTTCTATGCAAATCTGTTAGTATGGACTTTGTAGGGCACCAGAAATCTGCGAAGCTAGTCCTCTAAGTTCAAATGAAAACTTTGTGTACACAGCTAAGTCATAGAAAAAGTTGTCTAATTCGCAGCTTTAATATTTGTGTGTTCTAGAGAAAATTTGCTCTTGGTGACTTTTAGTGGATTCGAACTCGTCCAACCCCTCTGATTTCACTTTGTGTCGTATCGATAGTGTCAGTGTGTCTTTAGATTATCTTGATCGAAGACTGGTGTGACCTTAATGAACTCAGATCGTTAAAGGATCTGGATATAAAGAATTTTGAGCAAATGAGTAGATTCAGGTCACACCAGCCTTTGATCAAGATAATCTAAAGACACACCAACACTATCGATAGAGTTCGAATCCGCTAAAAAGCGCCGATAGCAGAGTTTTCCTGGAAAGTACAAATATTAAAGCTATGAATTAGAGAATACAGATAAGTCGAAGCAATTGACA